TGTCACGAATTGATTAGGTAGGTATTTATCTGAAACCGGTCTCGCGATTGTTACATCCTGAAAATCCTGAAACGTAAGATGGTATGAAGCTGCGTATCCATAGCAACCCCTGCTTGAACCGTATTGGACGTGTACGTTCTTCCTTCTTTGCACTTGCTACTAACCATCATTCCAATTTCTCCTTTTCCGTACACACAAAATATTTATGATTTGTCATCAAAAATCGAAGCAATTTTTCATTAGAGCTAATTAATTCACGAGAAATATTGAGGGTTGAATAAGAGAAAAAAATGTAAACTTATCTACTTTGGAAACAGTACGCGTAGAACAATAGATGAAAGAAAATAAAAGGACCCTCCGAATTATAAATTCAAAGGAAACAAAAAAAGCACGACGTAAAAGAAACGGGGACATTGTAAAGTTCTTCGGGAGGAATATAAAAGTGTGCACACTTTTTAAATTAATGATTTATTTGGCCGAAGACCAAGATGGCGGGGAACGGAAGTTCGCGAAGATATTTAAGATTTAGCGGAAACGGTGGCTTTCGAAATAATGGAGACGGTGTAAATAAGGTCAAATGAATTATGCAAAAGTTGACAATAAAAAATGACAATGTTATAATTACAATGAATTAGAAATAATACATTTTTTACAGAATATTATAATCAACACATGTTATCTTAGTTTATTTCTTCATTATTTTGTGAAAATGACAAAGCGACCACTAATTCCACTACAACAATTCACTCAAAATTTTCCAGTTCCTGCAAATGTAATAATTGCCAATGTTAGTTTTATTATGCAAAAAAATACATAAAACATGCAGCATCTCCTTTATCTCAATTACAAATACAGGGTGTTAAAAAAAGTTTGTAAAATATTTAAGAAGGTAATAGTATTGGTATAGACTAAAATAAACAAAAAATGTGAGTTTTTTTTCTCTTTTTTGTTTGACAGATTGCAAATAAATGTTTCCAAAAACAAATAATTTTTATATCTTCGAAACCGTTACTTTGCAAACCCATGTTTATATTAAGACTTTTTTGTTTGTTTTGTTCTATACTATTACTTCCTGAAATATTTTACAATCTTTTTTTAACACCCTGTATGTAATTACAGAATAATTAAACAAATTGGGATTGTGAATAAAATAGTATACAAACTGTGGGGGGGGGGGATGTCATTACCCTCTTGACAAAATATCTCAACTCTCAGGGCAATGACATATTTTTCACCTCGATTGTAATATACTATTTCGCATTAAAAATATGCAGTGTGTCGCTGGATGGGTGAAACGACTTTGTAAACATAAAAAATTTTGATGTAAATTTTTATTTTTTGGGGTTCAGCTCTGCTTGGTTTTTAGTTTTGAAAAATCAAATATGCTTTTTTTTTGTAAAGTAAAGTGCCTTTTATGTAGCAAATGAAAATACAACAAAAAATTAATTAAAAAAGTTGTCTAGAATTAACTTTTAGGCCCCTATGCTAAACTTCAAAATCATCGACTAACTATGATTTTTCATTTTTTTCAAAATATGTAATTGCTTTTTGTTAACAGAAACGTCAAAAATTCTTTAATTTTAAATCAATAAACATCAAAAAAATTAAAAATTATAGTCAATGGTTTTGAAATTTAATATGCTGGCCAAATGTTGATTCTAAACAACTTTTCTTAATAACTTTTTGTTGTATTGTTCACTTTACTCTACGGTAAAATAACTTTTTTTGAAAATTTCCAAGGCTTATTTGATTTTTCAAAACTAAAATTATGCTAGAAATTAATTTTTAACCCAGTAGGGCTAAACCCTAAAATTTTTTATCTTTTACAAGAGTCATTTCACCTATACGGGGACACATACTGTATACCTCCATATTTTGGAAGCTATTTTAAGTTTATTTTAATAAAACATATTATAAAACCAACAAGTTGAGGAATTCCTCAATAATTGTTTAGTTCCAATTAAGTGACTCTTAAAGAAGGCACTGAGTTTTTGTCATTAATAAACTAAAATTAGTACAATTGTTTATTTACGACTTCAGATTTAATTAATTTTAACATCCAAAAATGGACTAAAATTTTGTTAGAAATTAATTTTTAACCCAGTGGAGCTAAACCCTAAATTTTTTTTATCTTTTACAAGAGTCATTTCCCCTATACGGGGACACACACTGTATACCTACATATTTTGGAAGCTATTTTAAGTTTATTTTAATACAATTTTAATATACCTACATATTTTGGAAGCTATTTTAAGTCT